TTCAGTATCAGGCATCAAGCATATTGTTCTTGGTAGTTACGTAAAAACATGTTAAAGAGATTTGGTCTGCCAGGTGCTTTTGTTGTTGTTGATTTTCCTTTTTTTTTTTTCTTTTTTACCTCCCAGTGAACTTTCTTTTCTACCTTCAAGCAACAGAGGATGGCCTCCACTACAGAAACCTAGCTTTCTCTCATTAGAGAGTAGCCAAGGGCTCTTTAAACTAATAAGGCAGGAGAAAATCACAGATAAAACAAGATAGGATATTCAGGTGCAGATGACAAGAGAGTGCCTTAAAGGGTTTATGTTAATAATTACAATCTGAAGATAGGAATCAGACCTCTAAAAAGAAAGGCATTTTATGATGTATTTAGAGGCTTTCAAACTGTTCTGCATAATAATGCCAATTTTTCCATCTCTTCCCCATAAACATAACAGTATTCAAAAAGCAAAAGTAAACTCTGTCCCTCTCTAACAGAACAGAGTCATTTTTACAACAGGAAGAAAATGAAATAAAGCACACACTACACAATACAGGCCAGTAGCCTGTTGGGATCCTGGTGGGCAAGACTTTGGATCCCAAAGGCAATTTTCCTTAGTCTATTAGGAGAAAGCCTACAACTTCCCACCTTCAATCTGTGCCTCCTAATTCCAGGTCTTTTCTTTATCTTTCTCTCTCATGGTGTTTGTTTGTTGCTTCTCTTTCTGTTTTGTTTTTACTACACTCCCAGGTACCCATCAATGGATAATCAGTTGTTCTACCACACATCAGCCCTCCTCTGTGCATCTGTGGATTCCACATTCACTCATCCAACCCACCACCAATCAAAAATATATTTTTAAAACAATGCCTTCCTGTAGTCAACATGGGAAGACTTTTTTTATTATTACTATTCCCTAAACAATGAAGCATAACAGCTATTTATATAGCATTTATATTGTACTAGGTATTACTGGCAATCCAGGAATGATTAAGGGGATATGTGTAAGTTACATACAAATATGATAACACTTTATACAAGGCCTAGAACAACCCAGATTTGGGTATCCTAAGAGGTTCTGGAACCAATCTCTTCTGGAGACCGAGGGACAACTATACTTCACTTTTGTTTTTACTTATTCATGCTGTAATTTACCCAACAGATATCTGGAGACAAGAGTACTAACTGTTTGTAATGCAAAAATGAATAAAAATAGGTTTCTGATTTTATCAAATCATACCAGTATAAAAATAGACATATGCAATTATATGTCATCAAGAATTATAGTATCTAAAGTCATCCCGTGGGGTCATGTATGCCTGGCCTTGAACACTATCCTTTTCACTTACTAAATACATTGAGTTTCATTAAGGTGCTTAAGTTTTCTGAACCTGACATTTTCATCAGTAAAATGAAGATAATAATATGCATCTCATAGGTTCGAAGCAGGGATTAAAAAAAAAATGTATTTGTGGTATTTAAAATGTTTAATGCCCATCTTGAGGTTCAAAGGAGGGAAAAAATAAATATAAGCATTTAGGTATGGTGGTAAATAACATAATAGATAAATGAAGTGTTGTTGATAGAGGAAAGGAGGACTAACTCAGCCATGGCTTCCCAGGAGAGGTGAAACTTGAGTAAGATCTAAAGAAATCACAGCCCAGGATGTAAGCAGGTTGCAGGGAGTCCTAGGGGTGAACACTACACATAAATACATAGACTTGTAACAGCAATGACCAGTGATTATTTGTGTTGGAGTGTGGGTTCATGTTAAGTGATTGAAGAAAGTCAAATAGGAAAAATGAGTTGGGAGGAGATTATGAAAGGACTTCTATTCCATACTGAGGAATTTTAATCTCTGAAAATGAGAAGTAATTAGAGTTCTTTCAGACAAGGAATGAAATTCCAGAATAATGCTTTAGAAATTGAAATATGAAACCCAAGTCTTGTGTAGACAGTGGATAACAGTAGAGAGAGACTGGAGGCAGGAACACCAATTCAAAGAAAAGAAGAATTATCTATGAATAATATTTGCATTTAACTTATATATAATTTACAAAGTATAATATTATAAGATTACATAAATTTGTGTAATAACATAAAATGAATAAAACCTCAAGCCAAGCAATAATAATAAAATGAAAGAAGGTCTGAGACATGAGAATAAAAGAACATACACCACTTCGTGATTGACTAGAAGGAGGGGCTTGTGGACATGGATGTGTCAAAGGCATTCCTGAGGCTATCAGCCTGGCAGACTGCATGTTACCATGCTTTATCATTCCAGATGAGTGGCCAGAACAAGGAGCATAGTGGATTGGATCACTATGCCCTAATGATTTAGGGTCTCCCTTTGGCAGGGGGCTTTGTCATGCCTCCCACTTGAGGTACTTTCCATAAGTGTCAGGAGTGGTTAAGTGTCTTGCTTTAGTGGATAGAATGTAGATCCCAGGGTAGGATGACAGCTTGAGGCTGAGGCTCACAGGCATCTCTTATTTCTGTTCAGATTCGTATGCTCCAGGGAGTCACCACGAGAAGTACATGTGCCAGGTACCTTTTGGTCCAAGGGGAAGGAGAAAGCACAGGGTGTGTGCCTAAACCCAATCCCAGTATGGACAAAAACCCAGACACCACACCCGTTAAAACCTACCCAAGTCATAGCCTGAAACAAATCTCCTGAGCTCACTGGTAGATTGATGAGTCAGAAAAATAAATTCTTTCTGTTGTATGCTTTCTTGCAAAAAAAAAAAAAAGTTACACTGTATTGCGGTGGCAAAAGTCCCATTAATACAATGAGACAGCAACAATGACATTTGAATATCTGGTTCTAATTTGTTCCCAAGGCCCAACTACCTCCCTATGCTTGGATTCTCTCAACCGCCACAGAATTACTCCAATTAATCTTTTTTGTTTTCTATTGTTTTCTCAAGCTGAGTAGAGTGATTTCTATTATTTGTCACTCATTGAATCTGAGTATACTTACAGTTCTGCAGAGATATGTTGACTCTTAATTCTCTTTCCAGATATAATAGAAGAATAATGAAGCCACATGTTGGGCCAGGAATTATTATACATAGGAAAGGACCATTGCATTAAAGATTTAGTCAATTAATGAATGAATTAACTAATGTTGAGTGGATTCCAGAACTGCAACCTTATATTTCCTTAAGCCAGCTAAGCATCTTGAAACCATGTTTCATTGATGAGTAACAAAGGGACTGAATTAAAGAGCCTGGGTAATATAAACATTTAAGATGCAGTTAAATAAAGAATAGATTGAAAAGGAACATGAGTAAAGGAGAATGAGAGAATGTGGTTAAAGCAAAAGAAAATGAGACTCTTATGAAAGAGGAAGTGATAAACAGTAGCAAACACCAAAGAAATGTCAACAGGTTAGATGAGCATCAGTGGACTCAGGTGGTGAGTGAATACCCCCTGAGCAAGAACAGTGGTGAGAGGTCTTCTCAGAGAACAAGTACTGAAAGAAAAATCCTTGCCAATACTGAAAGACATTTGCTTTGTTTCTTCAAGGGAGAAAAACATCAAATAAATCTTGGTAAACACCACTGTTTTCATCAGATTTTTTGCTGCTGTGACTAAAAGACCTGATAAAGACAAGTTTAGAGGAGGACACATTTATTTGGGGGCTCACAGTTTCAGAGGTCTCAGTTCATAGACTCCCAGCTCCATTCCTTGGGGCTCAAGCTGAGTCAGAAAACCATGGCAGAATATTGTGGCAAAGGGAGGCAGCTCAAAGGATGATCAGTAAGCAGAGACTGAGAGCCTCTACTCTCCAGATATGAAATATCAAAGACACACACCCAATGCCCAGCCACACCCTACCTGCCTTTAGTTACCACCCACTTAATCCTGTCAGGGGATTAACTCACTGATTGGGTTAAGGTTCAAATAATTCAATCATTTCTCCTCTGAATCTTGTGTTGATTTTGGGGAACATGTCACATCCAAACCATAACAGCCACATATTATAGCCCCCCTTTTGAAATTTCCAAAGTATATCAGCATATTAAAATGCCAATAGTCTTTTACAATGAGAAGAGTGTGTATGTGTGCTTAGGTTAGCTTTCAATATACCTGACCATAGGTGACTTTATGTGAAACAATATCCAATTAATAACCAATTATGTATCACAGAATAGTTGAAATCATTCAGATGAAGATTTGTTCTCTTTATTCCAGGACTCGGAGGGGTCCTTGGCACACCAGGATCTTTTTTTTGGGGGGTGGAGTGCCGGGGATAATGAAACCCAGGGCCCCGGGCATGCTAGGCAAGAGCTCTAACACTGAACTACACCTCAGTTGTACTTTTTCACTTTTTTTTCTTTTTGTTTTTCTCTCATTGTACCTATTTCCTGTGGCATCTTATTTTCTTTGCTTCAACTATTTCCTACTTTAAGCAGATACTGACTCCAAGAAGCTATAGTTGCTATGGTCATTAGTAATTTTGTCCCTGTGCCTAAAACACCTGACAAGAACAACTTAGAAGAGGAAAAGTTTATCCGGGGGTCAGGGTCTCAGAAGTTTTAGCCCATAGTCACCTGACGAATTGCTCTGTGCCTAAGGAAGGCAATGCAGGAGGAAAGCTGCTCATCTCTGGGCACCCCAGAAGCAGAGTGAAAGCAAGGACCCAGAGACAAGAGTTCAAGGACACAGCCCAGTGACCCACTTCCTCCAGCCACAACTAACTGCATGCAGGTACCACCCAGTTCATCCCTTCGATTTATTTATTCATCAAATGTATTATTCCACCAATAAAGTTACCTCTCCTAATCTCATAATTTCACCTCTGAGCATTTTTGCATTAACTAATCCATAAACTCTTTGGGTGGGACACCTGGAATCCAAACCTTAACAATTGCCTTCCAGAAGTTCTTCTGAGCTCTGTGATTGACATGTGTCTACTTTCTGGAATTTTGCACTTGATTGTTATACAGAAAAAAGAACTATTTGTCTTATTTCCTTTTTTCCTTTCCCGTTAATATGGATGACACCCACGTATACCTGAGAATCATCCTCAGTTTGTCCATCTTGTTCTTGTTTTTACTCTTCAGCATCCCACTGAATAACCTCAAAATACTCTCGACTTCAAGACTCAAAGTACTTGGAAGTCTTCATCTCTTTTCATCGATTGGTCGGAAAAATTCAGATGAGCTTGAGTTTCTTGTGATTGTGCCAACGACCCCAGTTTATTGAGGAGCAGAGATGCAGAGGCTGGATGAGTGAGCAAGAGAAAGAGGAAAATCACTTACAGGTGTGTCACAGGCTGACAGGCACCATGTGTAAGGGCTCAAGGTACTGGGAAGATTCTGTAGAACTAAGTAAAATGTACCTTAAAATGGTACCTGCAAAGGATGGTCAATGAGTCTTTGTTCCTTGTCTCCCTTCCACAACCAGTTGAGAGGGTGGCCCTAGGAACATTAGGTTTTCTGAAATTCTGGGCTAATCTACAAATATGCTCTGAGGCAGAAAAGTTGAATTAAGTGGGGCACTTGAAGTTATGTGCTGCTAGTTTGCAGTAACTGCCCATCCAAGCTGTAGCTAAAATCAGTGGAGTTGGGGGAAAAAAAAAAAAGAGTTTGCTAAAAAGCCTTTTAATTGCTCTTGTCTCTCTTGACTTGTCCCTCTCCAAACCATTCTTTATGAGGTCTCCAGATAATGATTCTTACATTTCCATCCATTAAGGCTACACAAATTTCTTAAGTGCATAGTATTTACCAGACATTGTTTTACATGTTGGTGAATTGGATCAGTTTTTAGTGTCAGGGAATTTTGCATTTTAGAAAAAAAAAATGATTTAAAATAAATAAGTGGCCAGGGTTGTGGCTTAGCGGTAGAGTGCTCGCCTAGCACGCATGAGACATTGGGTTTGATCCTCAGCACCACATAAATATAAAATAAAGATATTGTATCTACCTAAAACTAAAAAATAAATGTTAAAAAAGCAAATAAGCAGGGCAAACTGTATCAGAAAATAATAAGTTTTGTGCAGAGAATTAGAATTCATAAGGCAAAAAGAAGACTGAGTAAGGTACTCTAAGTTACTCAGAAGGTTGCTGTGGAAAATAAGGAAGAATTTAAGTAAGTAAGAGTAAGTGTGGAGGGGAGTGCATGTTTAGGAGTCCCATTCAGTGGATTGGCTGATGAAGTCATTGTGAAATACAAGGAAAATAGAAAAATAGGGAACATTCCTAAGTTTTTGACTTGAGCAGTCAGGAGATGGTGCTGGGGTGGAGAAGCCTGAGGAACAGCAAGTTTCAGAAGAAAATGGTGGGTCTCATACACTCATGTTGAATTTGAGGTGACTATTGGATATACAAGAGGAGATGTCAAACTTAAATGTGAGATGATCAGTCTCCCAATTAAACATTTTTCTAGAACTTTGGTTTCCTCAGAATAAAGGCCAAACTTGGAAGGACATATTCTGTCCTGGAAAAACCTCATATTTCATCCACCTATATATTTTAACATTCAACCACCACACTGATATTGATTTATAATTCTAAAAATGACACTATTCTCATGTCTCTTTATGTCTCCCTACAGTGTCTTTTCATGATTTCTTACTTTCTTTCTTCTCTTTCTTCCAAACTCTAAAAACATGACTGCAGGCTACATTCACTCCATCTTGGGTTTAGAACACATTGCCCCCAGTCTGTAATTCTCTCTAACATAATGCCTGACACATGCTGTATTATATTTTTTTTATTGCTTTTCTGGTTTTTTTTCCTCCTTATCTATGTGCAGAAAAAATTTATTTCCAGAATCTAAACTTCTTCCCTAGTATTAGATATCTGGTTCTATTGACTGAATAAATCGACTGAGAAATTAATGACAACTTAATGGTAAATGAATGAAAGAAATATATAAAGAGCAAAGTATCACACATTTAAAAATTTGTACATTCTTGAGTATAACACAAGTTTTACTTTATTAGCATTGGTTCTGCCCTCAAAAATTTATACTGTTGTGTGGATGCAAGAAACTGGAAAAAGTCTACCATCTCCTTAACAGTTAAATTAAAATTTAAATTATGTAAATTCTATTACTAAAATAAATACTGAACCGAAGAAAATATTTAACTTTCATTTTTATTTCTCATTCGTATTCCATTTTTTCCCCCTCTAAAACTTGTGTAATGTTGCAAACAGGCATAAGCAGGGTAAGAGGGTAAATAAAGTGCACTGTGAAGTAGATGAGCACACCAGGAAAGACACAAGGTAAGGGTTCATCTAAAAAGAAAGATGTCAAGCTAAATTTTCACAAAGCCTAAAGTTGGTAAAGAGGTGAAGATAAAGTTGGAAATACAACTTTAAAATCCAGTCTAGGAACAAAAGGAATGATTAGTTTTAAGAATTATAGTGTCTGGGGATAAAAAGCAAATAAAAAAATCCTTAAGCACAAAATTTCTGAATTATGCAACAAGCACATTCTCTCTGATAAGAATCTAAAAAGTTCAAATGGATTCATGATGAATGAATTAATGAATCAATGGATGTCCTATTGATTCTACAGAAACCTGAGTGATAAAGATATATAACCAATTCAATGATTTTTAGTTACTGATGAATGATGGACAAATAGCTTCCAAGGAACTATTTAGCTTTATGCATTGTTTAGTGAGATTCAAAGTGTATTCCCAGGTGGAGAGGGGACTTATGCAATAAGGAGTCATTACCATCTATATAATATATTTTAAGTTATTCTATGATAATTGCTATTCTTATGTTTTTAGTTTGTTGGAATAGCTCACACTGAAAACAATCCTTTTAGATTTTCTAACTAAATTTCATTTTCATAAGATATAGATAATTTTCATAGGGCCAGAATGAATCTGATTAAATAATCTGTTTATCCAAATATGTTTTTTTCTTTCTTTCTTTTGTTATTTTTTTCAGCAGTGAGAATTGAACCCAGACTCTCTCCGTCACTGAGCTACTCCCCAAATCCCCAGTCCTTTTTTATTTTTATTTTATTTTATTTTTTTTAATTTTTTATTGTTGGCTGTTCAAAACATTACATAGTTCTTGATACAGAGTCTTACTGAATTTCCCAGGCTGGCCTAAAACTTGCAGTCCTCTTGCCTCAGTCTCTCAACTACTGAGATTATAGGTATTTGACACTGCCCCTAATTTACATATGATTTTACATACCTTATGTAAACAGTTTCTCAGAAGTTTTAGGACAGTTCCCACAAAGGGAAAGAACAGCTCTCATCATTTCAGATTTGGACATATTACTTCTTATTGAACATCTGTGCTATTTCAGGAAGTGGGTTGAGTACTTCATAGTGAGCCTCTCAGTAAAGTGCTTTTTAAGATTTTCCTCAATGAACTTTAAATATTTCATAGACAAAGCTTGTTGTCAAAGACATTACTCAGGCACAAAGTATAGTAGGTACTCTAAAATGATTTATGGATTCATTAATGAATTTGATCTAGCAGTCATTGAGTGTCTTCTCTGTACCTGGTCCTGTTCCTGATACTGACAATGTGAAAGTGAATCAAATGGACAATCTACTCTCAGAATCTTGAAGTCTAGTGGGAGAGTTTGGTGTGTGGACAATAAGATATAATTAAGTACTGAAGGTTGTGTAGATACAGGGGACATAGGGCAAAACCCTTTTGTGTTGCACTTCTTGAAAAAAAATGTGATGGCTTTTATAGGACAAGGACAGTGCCTTTCAATAAATGGCAGTGGGATAAAGAAATTGGATATGTGAATGAGCAGAAGAATAAGGGGCAAAGGTGGTGGCCATTTCACAGTGCCTAGAATGAAAGTTGGATGACAGTGGAGGCGGATGAGACTGCAATGGCAAAACGGATCCAGATTATGAAAGATTTAATATTTTCAGCTAAATCATTTGGACTTCATAATGGAGGCAAGAAACATCTGAAAGTTTGACTATTTTTGTTAGCTTTGATTTTAAAATGGTAAATTTCTCGAGCAAAAGTTTACTGTGTACTAAGCCAGATTCATTCATTATTTTATTAAATGTTTCTAACAAACTCAAGGCAGAGATACTATAAATCTTTTTTCTTTCTTTCAGATATTTGTCTTTCTTTTCTCTATTCTTAATATTGAGTCATATATTATTTTGTTAGATGTTTCTAATAAGCTCATGACAATAATACATTATTTCTCTTATTTTCTTTCTTTCTTCTTTCCTTCCTTTCTATCTTTCTTAATACTGAAGGAATGGGCCTTACTGAGTTCAGGCTGCTTGCCTTACTTGAGAAAGACAAACTTGAAAGCCAGGCCTGAAAAGCTATTAACCTCTACTCTATCAGTCCCTTTCCACATTTCTAGGCTGGATTATATTGTCAAATGGACCCTAATGACCAGTAGGAAAGGCTCAGAAATGCTGTGGGTGCCATATTTCTTATACACAGAGCACTGTAGGTCATAACTAAGCTCAAAACTTTAAGTCATGACAAACCCAAGTTGTACTAATAGCACAAGTTAGTTTAAAGATGGAACCAAATAAGCAGCTAGTGATTTTAAAATATCTGATTCGTACCTGGAACTCACTGTTAATTTGATTTAAGTTTATTTTTATATTCTTATATCCTAAAAAAAAAATTCAGCAAATGTTTTGTAGATGAAATAATCTCCTAACTGGTACAGAGATACAACATGCAAGGAAGAACACAGAGGAGGATAAAAGAGAGGTGTTAGAGACAAAATTATTCAGTTCTCTGCAGATTTGTCCTTGAACCAGTCATTATAATTTCTCATTATTTATCTGATCATGTGCAAAGTAGAAGTTGTATTATTCATACTGGGAAACTTCTACATGTTTAATGTGCATGGCATATGGAAACATGTATGTCAAGGCTTTGTACTGTTCTCTAGAAACACTTTCATCATCTTGATAAGCCTTTGATATAACCCACTTTTAACCATTGAAAGGGGTGCTTTACTACTTCAACTTGATGTTGAGATTAAACTACCTTATTTGAAAAAGATCAGAGATGGTCTTCAAAATGCCTACAAAGTACCACACATGTCTATACATAGCATCAACATATGAAGATTGAGTACTTATTTGAGGCTGTGCCAAGACTTTATCTGACAAAGCCATCCTTAGACTTCATAAGGCATCAACAGGCCCTGTGAGGGTATAATAAAAGCTCTTTTGTTGCTCAGGAAAGCAGAATTAAAAATGGAAACAGCTAAAGACCTTCTTTTATGTATTGGGGGGGGGGGAAGTT